ATGAAAAGCTGTGCACTTTGCTCTTACACAGTACCTATATTTTACTTGTGCAGCCGTATAAGAATTCGGGGAGGAGGTAAAGAAATCTTGGTTAGCGGTTCACTGAATGTAGTAAAAGTGGTTTGTTGTAGGTTGACACAGTGATCGTTGAAACGTTCCAGTTCAAATGCATCTTCTTTTCTATTAGTATTCGTTGCGCTATGCGATTACTGATGTTCAGCTGCGAGAATCCAAGGCATTCATTTCAACATTTGAATAGTGTCTGTTTCGTCCTGGGTCCTGTGGCTATGCAAGTCCAGAATTCCCCTTCGATCGTGATATGCGGGTTAAGAACACTCTCCATGAGATATCTGATGGTCAAAACTGCTGTCTGTCGTCCCCTTCCTCAACTCCAGTTTGGATGTTTTTAAGCCAACGTCTAGATCGGCATCATGTTATCGATAAGTCTTTGTTAGAATCTACTCAAATGGTTTGTCAAGCCTATTGATAGAAGAAACACCGCTTTTTCTGGGAGCAGTTTTGTTTCTACCAGAGGAAAGCTGACATCCACAGCGTCAGTGTTGCGTCTAAATTGGGTGCTGCACACGTAATGCAGTTTAGTTTGGAAAACATCGCATCGGTAAGAAACAGTTGTTTGGAGGGGGGTGGTTGACGAAAAGGGACTTCACGGGACAGCCTCGAAATTGCAATGCCCACAAACAAATAGATAAGAGCAAGGTAGTAAGCTTGCGAGCCAGCTGTATCACAAGTACAGACAAATAGAATGCTTCGGACAGTGTCGCTGAGGGAAATGATATGTTTATGAAGACCCATTCGGTGTATCAGTTGGACTGCAATGGAGTCAAGACTTGCAGCACAGAACTGACTAATAACGTGCTTACTGTGCAAGACAGCAAGACCGGTTTGCTTATCTAAACGCGCATTGATGTAAGATCACACTGGTAAAAGGCACGTATTGGCTTGGAAAGGCGCAACAAATTTTAAGTATTACGAACTGCACTAAGTGCTCACAGATACATCACTAAAAGTTTGAAGTTGAGATTTGAATTATTGGGCATTAAGTATTATCCGAGGTAAGTCCGGGATTGAAGCATCTGAAGTCCCAAACTGGACCACAGTTACAGGTGTAATAATTTGCGATATATAGTCATTAAATACATAGGCAGATGGCAAAATCGAAATACGACATTCAGTGGTGACCAGATCCGACATCGGAGAGTCACCTAGTTTAACGCAAATATCCAGATATTACAACTGGGTGATAAACCGTACTACAGCTGACTTCTGCCTACCAACAACAGAACAATGGAACAATGGTTTTATTCGGGTAAAAAAGCTAATGTTTAACACGTCCCGTAGGCTGGTCATGGTGAAACTGCAAAATATAAAAAGATTGCTAGCAAACTTGGGCTTACGCTGGTAAACCCACTAAGGTAAAAGTAGTACAGAATGTAAATCCAAGGTAAATACATAACGAGTGACAGTAAATGGGATGTTAGTAAAAATCGCTTCTTTCTTGTGTACACATGGCTGGCGGCATCCGGTTTCGGATTTGCATGTCACTGTGACCAGCCACAGGACGCCTGCGCCTACAGAGGTACCATGGATGGCTTGCGCTGCACCACTCACAGCTCCATCCACACACCCCATATCCAGTGTAAACCCGAAGGAATAAGACCAGGAGGCATGTGGATGGGAGCCACGTGTCATCAACGGAGCCGACTCACAATCCTTCACATGCAAACACAAGCACGCTGTATTTGGGAATCAAGTGCACACAAGGCGGTGGCTGGACCATAGTCCACTCCACCCTGAGTGCATGGAACCACTCTTCAAGCCTAACACGACCACAAGGACCGCGCACTCCGTCCTCTCCAGCAACGACCAAGTGTATGGGCGATGTAGTGGGTAATATACAGGTAGGCACATTGTCAACGTGCACATCAAGCGTAGCCACACCGGGAATATCAAACAACAGCCAACCATTTGAAATGTCGATGTCAAATAAAAGTTACCGAATAAAGTAGACGTATGTGACGACATTAATACTCGCTAAATGAGCATATGGAAGAAATTGGTTATAAGCGAATTCGCGATAATTACAAGATGTCCAAAAGTTATTTCAAAAATACCACGTGATAAATTACACAGATTTGCTACAATTACCATGAGCGAGGGGTGCAAGTTAGGAGAAGATTATCAGGTACGTGGAACAAACCAACTAAAGTGAAATGAAATTTATCCAGCTTAAAAAGACCCCGTTTAAGTGTAAGTTGGTTTAGCCCAACTGCGGTGAAGAAGCATCATGATTGCGACATCAGCCTCAGCATGTTGTACATACATACGTGGAACGTAATCTGGAATTTGACTGGCGGTGAAGTCTCTTACAGACACTTGTGTTTATCCATGGGTAATGGGTCATGTAAGATGGTGTAACGAAATAAGTGCACGGTAAACTCGAGCTTTGAAATCTGCCAGCGTGGGAGCACATATAACAGGTTTCGGTAGGGTAATCCAAGTTCTTCAAACGGGTACGGAAAAGAAATGCCAACGGCATTCCAAACGCTTGTGCTTGTGTTCCAGCTGCAGATGGTGGCGTCTCAAATAGTTGTTGTGACTGAGCTCTAGCAAATGGCGGCACGTGTGGTCGGGATCTCTCAAAATCTGGTAAGTCAGGATGAGGTTCCCGCGCAATCGCCAATACTTTCTGCTGAGAAGCCTAAGCATTTATAACCTTCATTCATATGGCAAATTATGCAGGTCCTAGACATTCCTGGTTGCCCGGCTTTGGGTTATCTACAAGGTGGTGAAATATTACCCCAGGTATAGCTGCCAGATCAGTATTGCGTATTCCACATGTGGCTATATGTTTAAGCCAAGAATTTGTGGAAAAATCGAAGAGTCGTATAATCCGAATGCACGCTTCTAGAGACGCACGTGTTGAATGTTCCTCTCTGACGCCGTTTCAGTCTGTTTCGAACACCCAAGGTCGACCTGGACTATAGTTCCCAGCTCCTTCTCGCCAGAAGACGTTGGAAGCTCCTGGTTGCCAAGTTTGTTAGAGTGAACCGACTTGTGCCGTAGGTGCAGCAGTATACATTTGTCCACATTGAATGGAAGTAGGTGCTGGTTTGTCCACGCCTATACCATATGTAGATCGGATTGTAGTACAATGATGTCATTTGGTGTATTTATCGCCCTCCACACCTTGATGTCAATGGCATACACCAAGCAGTTCGATCTTATGATGCGTGTGATATTGTTAATATACGTCAAAAATAATCTCGGTCCTAGTACCGATGTCTGTGGTACTCCGCATTCAACTCGAATGCGACCTGACAACGATTCACACACACGTATTTCCAGGAGCCGATGCTGAAGAAAGCTTCTGATCCATGCTAGGAGAGGATCACCAATATCAAAAGTCTTGGGTTTGAAGAGCAGAATATTATGGGCTAACCGGTCGAAGACCTTTGAGAAGTCAAGAAAGACTACCTGAACGGCTGTCCCAGAGCCTACTGCATCAGTACAGCTGGATCGTGCTAGTAAGAGATTTGTAGTGCAAGAACGATGTCGTCGGAAGCCATGTTGTTTTTGTGTGAAGTAATTAACTTCTGCTGAGTAGGTCGTTAGCGCAACAGAAATAATAGTTTCCAAGACCTTTAAAAGAACCGGTAGAGAGATTATGCGACGGTAGTTCACTGGGTTGGAACGACTACCACCACTGTGAAGGGGAGTAGTCATCCTGTGTTACCACATGTCGGGCACGTACATTTCGCAAAAACAGGGTTGGAATTATCGAGCCAAAGACTTAACTAAACTATCTAAGCGAGGTTTCCTGTGAATATTACCAACTCCAGGAGAGCTATTCTTACGCATACTCAACATTTTAGTACAGCTTCGGCTGAATACAGTACAGTTGTTACTTTGAGTCGTACAGGCCATCCAGTTCTGCATGCTCTGGAAGAGTTTGTAGATATGCCAGACTGAGTTTTGCACAGCTATTCATTTGCGTGTCATTCTTCGCAGAAACGAGACGAACTTTCTTGGGTATAAGGCCTTAGTCACAGACGCTTCGGCAACCAGAGAGTTAAACTGGCTGACGAAATGTTCCCATGTACTAGCTGGTGCCTTGTCTGCCAGAAAAGTCCAGTTTGCTGTCTTACCTAGTCGAGCTAATAGGTCGTATCGTATAATGTTTTTGTTGCATCGGCGATTTTCACGGGATATTCTGCATAGCAAACACATTCGAAGAATAGGACTACATGGTCGCTGCGGCCCAAGGGGACGTCGACGAGCACTTTCTCTACCAGTGGTTCTTCGTTGGTGGATATCCGATCCAGTATTGAAGGCTTATCTTTTTCTCGGGATAATGTGGGAGTGTTGGTGTGGCCATACAGCGGGTAACTGGAGACAAACTCTTGTAGATAGGCCTTAAACTGTTCTCCTGGAGATGCTTGGGATTCCAGAGGGTTGATGTTGAAATCTCAAGTAAGGAAAATGTGACTGTAAGTCATGTTTATCACCCTCTTTAGTGCGGATGCCATCACGGGCGTGGAGGAAGGAGGGCGGGAAATGACCGCCACTAAGCAAGTGTCGTCGCCTTTTAAATGTAGACGCACCAAATGTACCATGGGTCTGTTTAGCACGATGAGCCTGTCCATGTGTCCGGTACTCTATCACCAGAAAGATACAGTGCCTCAGAAGTACACAGATGATGCCTGCAAAACCGAATGAAAGGTGACAAACGCATGGACTTAGAGTTAAGTGTGGTAGAACTGGTCACCAAACGTGCTTTGGGTGTACACCCTAAGGATTGTAGACTTTTACTGTGGCACGGCACATAGTGTAGCAGATGGGTTAAGAATTCTTGATGCCGAGAACATGATCTAGTAGCAAAGGAACAGATTTGTAGGTTAGCCAAAAGAATAAATTGCAGAAGGGATACTAAGAAAAGCAGACAGACTCGAGGCTTCTGGGGTTAGACTATCGGGAAACAATCAACCAATGTCAACGCTAGAGTGACTCGAAAGTATGGGATACACAGAGTGAACAATAGCGGTAACGTCGCAGAGATTAACGGGAGGACCATAGCCACACTGGTAGTTTTCATAGAAGCATTTACAACTAACTTGTTGAAAATCTCGGTTGATTTCCTCAATAATTTCCATATGACGTGGTAAGGTTTTGCGAATGATGTCAATTGACCAATGTTTAAGTGCTTCCTTCTGGGCCACATGATTTGTGTGTGTGAACGTTTGGCAGCATAATTCCCATGCCTGATAAAAAGCAAAAGTGTAGACAATGGTGGAGTCTGGTACCTTCGATAACGCAAAAGGACGACGGGTGTGTATAAAAAGACAGTAGGCTGTGGTGAATAGAAAAGAAACTGAACACTAGTATTTAATAGGTTGTTTTTGGATCAAATCAAACAACACAAGTTACTAGTGGCGGCCGGATATTCAGGCACTCGCCCAACGTCCATTCAGATGGGCCGATTGAAGATTAGCTCGTGCACACAGCTATTTGGAGACGAGTTAAGACAGTGTGTCTAGCTCCAAGGGTCTGTATACTCACGATTTTGACAAGTAATTTTCAAACGTAACATTACGAAGTGGCAGTAATGGCGCTTAGCACCGAATGTTGATTTTTAGCTTGGTAACCGGTCCAAGTTTTTCCAAAAACAATAAGAAGTAAATAGTGAATGCCGACTGCACACATATACACACACAAGCGTAAGTGCATGCGTCTGAACACAGAGGCGTTGACCTGATTCTGAGGTTCAGTTAAGTTCAAGTGATAAGCTTTGATCCCGGCACTTAACTGCGGTGGATTCCACTGTTCCGATTCTCATCGCCAATAGAAGTAAAAAGATAAGGACATGAAGATATAAAGTCATGACGGTCGGTCACGATATACCCGAATTCAGACAAGCATAGGGCGAAAGTTAGATACATAAATTATGCGTGCTACACTACTGTTGTCGAAACCTGCAGTCCAGCTAAGCGCAGTGTAACAAAGAGTCTAGCCAGAGGATAAAAGTAACTTTACCAGAGACGTTGCAAACAGTGTTCGAGTCCGGTAACCCGAAATGCATCGAAGACTTTCGGTCTGGTTAAGCCAAACGAACGCAGTCATCGTTCCCCCAGGTAAACTATCTAATTTGTCTATTTAAACAGTGCTGCTATAACTTTAGAATATTTTACACAAGACACTGCAGTCACATGGGGAATCTCCAGGTCGCTAGAGAAAAGCGAAAATGTTAGGATGAGACTAATAATCACGGATCAGAAACGGAGCACACTGAAATTATCGGCTGGAAGTGCGATTAAACAATTGCAACCTATCAAATACAAGAGGAGCGCCGGCTCCACGGGCGTTGCTTGTCACATTTAGCCACTGCTCCATGATGTCGCCGATCCAGAAAATCTTAGCCTAGAATAACGCACGTACCGGCCTGTCTTTATGGGTGGGCTGATTTCCTAGCGCTTCCGCTTCGCGTCACAAGTGGGGCAAGGTTAAAATTTGTCCAACTAAGCAAGCTAATGCACGAGAAGGCATGAGCCGTCACAACGAGACTGGATGTTAAGATAGTGCAACCGTTTGCGTACCTCATCGACCCACTGACCTATACTGGTTGGTGGTTGTGAGCTGGTTCTATCAGGTTGACCAATGGCTAGAAGCCAGACAAACTTAGTCTCCTGGTTCACCATGTTGAAAGGTTGAATAATATGGCCTCCATTTTCTGTAAAACTGTATCGCCGCCTCCTCCCCTAGCTTACGGACAAGTTTTAAGCTAGAGACTTTGCTTGAGGACCGTAGTCCTACTGCTGTCTAGGTCTGTGCGTCTTGGCAGTATCTCAGCCTATGTACAACCATGACCATTTCTTCAACTTTCAACCGCATCCTGCATCTGCCCTCGCCCAGCTTATCAGTGATCGCCATGTATGCTGCATACAGCAGGGCAGGTTAACGAAAAGATGATATTGCTTTCGCCTACCTTATTTCTTTGTTAACAGTTTCTCTCACTCTCTCCCCAACCTATATTAGTTTCCTCGCTTCTGTAATTCACAGCCTGGTTGACAACAGCTGCAGTGCCGCTGCAGTTTACCGCCTACAGTTATGTTCTCGCAACTAACACTAGACCCCTATATTACCCCGAGTACTGACGTGTGTTGTGTCTCCGAAGCCAGGATCAGTGGCCCCCACGACGTTGTCGAATTAACTACATTCGGCTTGTCCTCTCGCTATTAGTTGAACGCAGCCGAGACGTTGATGCAGCAATCACTGGTCAAGCTAGGTTGGGCATCGTTCTCAACTCCTGGGCTGAGTCATCCCGTGATCAGGCGTTTGTGTAAGGCCCGTTTCACATCAAATAAGTTTGCTTCACCAAGAACTACTAGACACTGTCTTTTTGTCCTTTTCACTTATAGCCCTACTGAATGTAGTTCTGATGCTGCGGAGCATAGCTTCTATCACAAATTGAAGACGCTGCTTTGTAGCGTTGTCATTTTTGATATCGTTTTTTATGCAGGGGATATGAAGGCGCACTTAGATCATCTGAGCTCTTCTGCACCTCATCCAGGTAGCTTATGTGCACTTACCTCCGCCCAGATGGACAACAACGTAGCACCGTCACCGAGGCACTCTCCTGTGTTCAATGGATCCACGCAGACGCCGACACGGCTATGGGCATGGCAGCTATAGCCGCCGCTCCAATCAGTGGTCCAGTGATCGATCTATTTAAGCAGGTCTTCCTCGCTAGATAGCGCACTGACGATGTCGCCATGAGTTGTGATGAATCGTTTGCAGCTAAAGTACCGAACTCGGCGTACACTCCGGCAACCAGTTTTGTGCCGGCCTGTGAGAATGTGGCCTGCTTGCACCTGTGGTGCCAAGTTGAATTCCATCAAAGTGCCCAGCATTTTCTGCTCGTTCTTTTGAGCACCCACCATCGCACTGTGCGACATCTGCTCAGGGTCATTTCCAACACAAGTAGCTTGCTTGCTCCTGTTCAGGACCAAAACAGTGTTTCAACCACAACGGCACCAAATAATTGCTCACTTTTCATCCGGCCCGTGGTGTAATCGTGGTCAACTGATTAGCTAATCTGTCTGTCTTAATAAGTGGAACTCCCCTTGAAATGCCCCCAAATAATTGTCTAATATGCTGATAAGAAACGTGGATTCGATGCAGCAAAATGACTAAACTAATTCTGTGTTGCATGGACAGTATCTCACTTCACTTGAGGCAGGAGATTATAAGATGCTGAAGGAGTGTCATACCCACATATGACGCTACTTCAGAGGGTTGGGGATCGTTAAGCCTCTTCAAGGGAAGACAAAACAGGTTAGAACCAGGGGATGGTTCGCACTTCCCGCTGCGAAGTTGCTAGTAAGAGTAGATTGATGTATATGCCAGCATGGTGTATACATACGCCTACACTTCAATGTCAAGTCAGCTTCCAAAAACGATATAGGCTTTCGCCTAACGAGCGTCCTGTTTCTGGCACCGGTAAGCCAACAAGACCCCTCGGTACTTCGACAGGTGAGCAGCGTCGTCAAGCCAAGCAGTAGTAAGACAGGTTGGTTTTTCATTTTTGTCAGCTTGCATCACTAGTTTCGATGAGACAGTGAAAAGAAATGAATGTGTGCTGAGGCTCCGCAACTGATGAAAAAGCACCCTGATCCATATTCACTCCAACATGCTCGATGTACAGACATGAAATCGCTGAAGGATTCCGACCTTATTGGACTGGACAGCCGTCACCATCGTATGGCGGACTAAGAAACCGGTGGTCCATGTATCGTAAGTCAAAATGTTTGTGTGACATATAGACGATTTGGACCGCACTCAGTAGCAACAATGTCGGATCATAAACCTTTTCCCGCATTCCGTACGTGTAACTAGCAAAGTACATGCAGGGCATGCAATACTATACACTGCAGAGAACCGGGTAGGATGACCACTGATTGGCTAACCAGTCCACTGGCTGAGCCTCGGTGTCGAGCACGCTAACTGCCAGCTATACTCACAATCTGGCCCGTGTTACGGCGGTATCTAAGTTTTTATAAATAAAAATGTAAATCTTCAGGAGTTTCGTTAGAGGTAATCTCCGAAAGTTCTACACCAATTGCTTCCAGATTTTGACACAACATTATGTTGGATTACTATCAAGTCAACATACATATTTTATGGTATGGATGTCATTTTTCGTATGTCATTTAAATGCATAACAATTTCCATAGGTTATTTGGTCAGTATTTTACGTTACTTATGAGTAGGTCGATATTTTTAAATATTTTAGTTGGCTTACAATCGCAATGGTTGGCTGTTTCGAGTGACAGCGTTACAATTGAACTGGGGCGCTAAACTGGCTTGCAAGTCGCGTGCATTGATTAGCATTTTATTTGCTCTTCGTTTATCATTTCCCTTTTAGCACTTCTTTTTACTTTTCAATGCTACAGGTGGAGGACTTACGCTGTAATTGGATCTACTTTTAAATACAAATTTTTCGTTGGCAATTTTATAGTTTTGACTTGTTTTTAGTTCGTGCTTTTCCGTATTCTATTGTTTCACAATTTTATATGTGGTTGCCATAGCATTCTTTCTTCTTTAAAGTGTTAGCAATCTATCTTAGTTCACCTAATTAATGGCTCTCCGAAAATCAAGCCTAAGCCGTCGTACTCGCACATCAGATGCAATGCGACGAGCACGAGCAAATCAAAGTGAGGAACGCAGATGAAGCATGGCTCAGATAAGTGCGGTGCGACGTTCAGCCGGAGTTGTGGCGGCAAGATGACGAAAACGATCACGTTCCAAAGCTTTAGATATACTTCCATATGAACAGCATGAAGGCGCTAAGCTGTCGGTGGGTGGTATTCTTCAACGAGAAACAGCAGATCAGTGACAAAGACGATCACGTGCACAACCATCATACAAATTAAATCGCCTAACTTTCCGGTACAACCCGGTTGAGTATTATGGTTTAAGTCAGCATGTCCTCAGTGGCACCATGACTGAAGTGTGTCCGTATTGCAAGGCGCTGAAATTTAATGGAGAAACGAAAGGAAAGTGTTGCGCTGCAGGAAAAATTAAACTGCCTCAAATGGAAGAACCGCCAGAGACATTAAAAAGTCTGTTTACCGGAGATACTGCGGAATCAAAACATTTCCTCTCTAACGCCAGAAAACACAACTCAAGCTTTCAAATAACGTATTTCGGTGCAGAAATCGTACCTCCATTCATGGCCACTTTCAAAGTAAAAGGACAGATTTCTCATAAAGCCAGATCCCTGTTTCCTTTTTCAGCTGATCAACCTACATTCTTACAAATGTACTACATCTGTGATGACAATGTTGAATTGAATACACGCTGCGGAATTTCTATCATTCCAAAAAGGTCCATCGTTTTCCAAGTGCAAGAGCTTCTGCACTAAAATAGTAAGTAGTGTGTTTGTTTAAAACATGACATCTGATACACACAAGATTGTTATTCCTGCTGAGAAAACGCCAACTGGAGAACATGTGCAAAGATTCAATGCTCCAACTATAGACGAACTTTCACTCGTTACGATCGGAGATCAATTCCAATCGAGAGAGATTGTTCTTCATCGGAGAAACGATCATCTGATAAAAGTTGCCGAAACTCATAGATGTTACGAGGCTCTGCAACATTCTATGATTTTGGTATGGTGCTGATGGATATCATTAACGTCAAAATGATAAATCCAGGCATTGGCGGAGATACACATAAGAAAAGCAGCGCAAAGAACTTTGCTTCATACCGAATAATGATTCGAGAGAATGAAGACAATCACATTTTGAAATGTCGTCAAATGTTTCACCAATACATCCTCAATACACACGCAAAATTCGAAACAGAATGGTTGTTATTCATTCGCATGTATTAAACCAAGCTTCGCTCCGAAAAATATGTTCATTTGAGAGCTGCAGTTGTGAAGGACGGCAATGCGGCAGACGTTGGGAGACACACAATTTGACCATCTTCATATACAGGCAATTCGCGTCATTTACAAAGTACGTTCAAGATGCTATTACGTATGTTCGTCATTACATGCGTCCCGCCATCGCAATGAGGCTGGACCTTACCGTGGTGCGATGGTTTGTGTGTCTCTGTGATCCATTGAGCCATGCTTGGTGGTGCTTTTGCACCTGCACAGTAACTCAAACCAGACTGGCCAATGGTTAGAGGCCAGACAAACTCAGCCTCCTGGTCCTCCAGGTAGGGGGTTGGAATGAGGGTGGTACATTATTTCTTAAAACGGACTCCTTGTAGCCCAACGCCAACCCCGCTACATTGCGGTCAGGTTTTTGAAGTGATGGCTTTTGCTGAGAACCCTAATCGTTCTCCTGTTTAGGCATGGGCAACCTGACGGTATCCTGTCCACGCAATACCATGAATCTCTCATCAAACCAATTGCTGATGCTCTGGCTACCGCAGATGATAACCAACGGCGCCTTATCTGCTGCATCGAGCAGGGTGGGTAGGGGTTTGGATGCTACTACTCAAGCCTTCCCGTCTTCTTATTCTCCCTCTTACGCTTTTCTCCCTTATGGTCCTGTTCCAACTTCACTTTTATCCCCCCCCCAATTTTCAATTCCCGGTTCTTGGCCCTCCGCTAACATGCCTTGCTAGGTGTTTATCTTCTAATTTCAACTCACATGTGAACGCACAGCGTCACTCCTCTCCTGTCGACAAGCCCATGTTCAACCAAGCGGTCCATTCCAGTTCATCGGCTTTCATTTGGAGCCCTCGATTCTCCTTCAGATTGGCGTGCCTCAATGTACGCACATTGTTACAGATCGTTCAACGGGAAGCACTTGCCCGAACATTATAGACCCTCTCGATCGATATCTGCTGCTTTTCGGAGACCCGCCTGCAAGACTCGAGCTCTGTGCTCACTCTGCGATCCCCTTCAGGTGACACAAGCAGTATTTTCTCATTACGCCTATCCGGTGACGATGCAGCTTCGAGCACCGGTGTTCGTATTGCCCTGAGTCCCTGGGCTGAAGCTGCTCTGGTTGATTAGATTCCAATCAGTAGCCGGACGTGTGCGGTCCCATTGCCTGTCTCGTTCAAAGCGTCGAAATCGCGCGGGATTAACAGGCGTCCACCATTCATCACTGCTGCCTATGCACCCACAAACTCTAGCGATGATTCGGTAAAAGACGACTTCTATCGTCAACTGAACGAACTCCTTAGCCACAGAGGAAGCTCGGACCCTGTTGTGCTGGTTGGGGATCTGAAAACACAAGTTGGAAAGTTGTCCACTGATGAAATGCATTTGGGCGGTCAGCACGGTGTAGGCTCCCGTAATGATAACGGTGAGCGGTTACTTCATTTGTGTGAAGATGCTCGCTTATTTCTTGCGAGCACTAATTTCCGACATAGCACCCGCCGGAGGATGACTTAGCGCTCACCAGCCTCGAACCAGTCTTGGGCGCAAATCGATCGCATTGCTATCAGTTACCGCTGGAGAGACTGCGTCCAGAAACGTCGCTCGATTTGGAGCACGTGTGCACACCGATCATGCACTTGTATGTGCTGACATGCGGATGCGTTTTGGTGGACCCCCACGACGACACTGTGAGCGCATTGACACCTGGCGAAACCATCTGCTCTGAACGCCTATCAAAGTACGCTGATGTGCGAGTTGAGTAAGCGCTCACTGGAGACAACTGAAGATCAATGGTCGCATGTACACCAGACCTTACTAACAGCAAGCAAATCCTCATGCGGTAAGTCTAATCACCAACATGGACATTGGGTCTCTTCACAGTCTCTGGAACTTATTGACGCTCGCCGGCATATCCCGGCTGGAAGCGAGCACAATGAAACTTGCAAAGAGCTCCGGGCAAAACTCCGTGATAGCCTGAAGAGAGACCGCGAATCCTGGTAATCCGATCTTGTAACAGAGATGGAAATGGCCGCTGCCCTTGGTAATCATCGTAAGTTATTCCGTCTGATACGGGAAACGGACAGCAGGAGACCTGATGTTAGTGAAACTATACGTGACCAGAGTAAACAGCCTATACACGATTTGTCAAAACGTTTAGAGCGTTGAGCTGAGCATTTTGAAAAGCAATTTAATCGGCGAGAATGGTTCGGTTCCTCACCGGCGAGTGATGGCCCTCCTCCATGGGATGTCCCTTTGGATCCACCCTCTCGCTCAGAAGTCGAATGTGGGATCGGACTGTTGAAGTTGAACAAAGTCGCGGGATCAGATGATCTTCCTTCAGCCCTCTTCAAATTCGCAGGCTCTTCTCTTGTTGATGCTTTACATGAATTACTAGTGAAACTGTGGGAGCAGGAGACGGTCCCAACCGACTGGAGCCGCTCCGTTATTGTTCCCATCTTCAAAGGCGGCTCGCGCTCGGAATGCGGCAACCATAGAGGAAGCAGTCTGATCACCATCGCCTCCAAATTACTAGCCTCCATAATTCTTCACAGACTGACTGGCGCTCGTGAAAGCCAGATTCGTGAGAAACAAGCCGAGTTTCGTCGGGGTCATGGCTGTATCGACCACATCTTAACCTTGTGTCAGTTGTTGGAGCACCGTCACACATATTGGCGGCCCACCGTAGTCGTGTTCCTCAACATCAAAAGTACCTTCGATTCGGTTGATCGACGTGCCTTTTGGAATTGTCTTCTCAGGAAAGGTGTGCCCGAGAAATATGCAAATATTCTCCAAGCATTATACGCGCGTATCACGGGAAGAGTGAAAGCTTACGACAAGCTGTCGTTACCCTTCAATATCTCAAGCGGTGTGAGACAAGGATGCCCGCTGTCACCTTTACTCTTCAAGTTCGTTACTGACGAGGTGATGGAAATTGCGTTTACAGAACATGACGTGGAAGGTGTGGAGCTACTCCCAGGAGAACGACTTCTTGACTTGGAGTATGCAGACCACATTGCCCTCATCTATGACAGCTCCCAGACGTGCCAAACCACGCTGGACAGATAAGCACTGGCTGCCAGCCGCTTCGGGTTTTGCTTTACACAATCGAAGTGCAAAGCTTCCCTCCAAGCTTGGCAGGGATCTCATCCCGCGCTGACCCTTGGTGGGGATCAGCTAGAAGTCGTTCAGAAATTCAACTACCTGGGAAGTTGTATAAGCGCCCGTGGGTTCGAAGATGAGATCACGAACCGTATAGCGAAAGCTGGAGGTGCTTTTGCTAACCTTCGCCACCTATGGCGGCGGCGCGACATTACTCTCGCCCTGAAATATAGAGTGTACAGTGCAGCGGTACGTTCGACCTTACTGTACGGTTGCGAAACCTGGCCCCTTAGATCAGCGGGCATAAATTGGCTAGTTACCCTCGACCATCGGTGCCTTCGCAGTTTAGCTCATATCTGATGGGAACACCGTGTGAGCGACGAGGGTGTTCGACGTCTTGTTTACAGCACAGGAAAATGAAATGAACCGCTCAGCACCGTCATTTCACGCACCAGGCTCCGACGGCTGGGCCACGTGTTACGCATGCCATCACGCCGGATTCCGCGACGCGGGTTGTTTGCTCACCGGGGGTGTGGATGGAAGAAGAGGAGGGATGTCCAGATGGGGACTATCGAATAAAGTGGTTCTTTGTGCCCAATTTCTGGTGAAAGACACTCTATTTCGTCTAATATAGTGGACTCGTCCATCCTTCTCGTGAGGCTTGTAGGGTAGCCGCGTGGATGTACCTGATCAATCGATCATAAACATAGATTACAATCGGAACTTGAAACGATATATTGTGCGTATTGGCGGGGAAAAGGAGGGGAAGGGAGACATAATGTAGTGACCTAGACATAAGTGCCGTTGGCCTTCCACGGAGTTAGCGGCTACTGCTGCCATCACGCAAGCCTCAAGGTGTCACAGGAAAACCATACAAGTGGTGAAATGATGGTGGTGTATTGTCCACATAGAAAAGGCACGAAAATCCCGTCCAGCCGACACTTTTGTTACGACAGCAAGAGAGGAACATGCATCATATTAACCTGACCGGTATGCGAAGCGAAGTAGTTTAAGCGTCGTGGGAATGGATTTGCATATGACATCGCAAAAGGTCTGTTGCAACTTAAAGATGAAGGCAATGAGATTTTGCGCCCGAACTGTAAATGTCCTGTCAACACTTACGTCTCTCCACAGCAATTGTTCTTCATCCACTAGAATCCGCATGAGTTCCGGAATAGCCAACGCTGGATGGGTATCATTAATGTGGATGGCTGCCTTCAAAGGTAATTCAAAAACGTCCCGCTGGGCTGCTGTGGCTCGGAAACGGCGAAGAATGTCCTAGAAATGGAAGGAGTGAAAAGAGACTTTAACCAGATGTTTGCGGTACAGAGTAGATAATCAACCTAGTGGGATCCTACAGGAAGGGTACATTGTGCGTATTATGTCGAAAAAGGAGACAGGGGTAACTGGGCGTGGGACACACTCTAGGCGTTTCTGGTATGAAACTTACTAACAGTTAGTAACCGTTTCGCACATGAAATGCACAACAAAACAAGGGTCCACAGTAAAGGATGCGGCCGTTTAGAAGTCGTAATATGGGGTAGATCACTTTAAGCTACTGGTGAAGTCAGTTATAAGCATATGATTCCCAAACTCCTGTGAACTCGAAAGTGCAATAAACGCTTGATCGATCCTAAAGCCTAGTGCCAGCCCCACAAGCTCCCAATAACTCCAAGGACAGATTGCAAATATGCAAAAACCAAACAAATGCAGATTGCAATTAGATTTTAATTCTCTTATATACTCAGAGTGAAGGCCCTTTTAGTGATTCAGTGACACGTTATCTACTGCATCCCCAACTAACCGACGAACAGAAAATCTCTTAAGCACTATGCGGGTACTCTCCTTTCCTCCATTATAACTACAACTACGGGATCACTGAAACTCCTCATTTCTGGAACGCTGACCACGAATCCGTCATAACCACCTGACTATAGCCATCTGATCAGGATCTTCATCTTAGCAACGGTTGGCAGACTGGACTCATGATTCTTGGATGTCGATGAGTATAAACCTCCAACATATTCCTGTTTAATGCCTTCGTAACATCACTTTAACCCCCATTTCCCTGGTTGAAATGAAGACGCGATTCCAAGCATTCCCTTCACTCTCTTACTGAGTTTAGCTGCTGAAAAAGTGTGGATGGGAACATATGTAGGACAGTAGCTGTCTCATCGCCATAATATTTTTACATAACAACTAAGACCAGTTTGCCAGCTAAGACATCTGCATCCTGTGCAAATGGCTACCAACATAAGTTTCCCCTTCTCAAGTGCTCTATGCCACACTCACCTACGACTCCAATATCAGCGACCGATGGTTTGTTAATGAAGACAGGGAGTCGAAAAACGCAGTCATGCTTCATTTCCGCTTGTCACTCGCAGTTAGGCTCGCCTTGCAGGACACAGATTGAAAGCTACTGCTGTTCACCAAAGCATATGTGTATCGACAGGTTAGACAGTTAGTGTCCGCTTATAACTCCAATCAATCTTTGTGTCCTTTGGTTTTTCGTTACCTTTTTCCTCGAACCACAACGAGTAAATGCCTTGATCCGTTAGTCACTGTTTACACTGCATATCTATTGAATGGATTTCGCCTCACCAGTTCAGTAGTATGTCACTTAGCAGTGTAAACAAATCAGGGCATAAGAATTAGTCTAGCTACCGACCTCGTGGCTGGTCTTTCTCCTACTCACATTTAAAATTTGTCTTGTAGCTTCTGCATTATTACATCCTGTCAAACAATGCAGATCATTCACTAACTTGGTGCTAAAACCAGTAAAGTACGCTATTGCCGTACGCACAATATCGTAGACCAGATAAACGGTTGATAAAATCAGCATCATAATGTGATTTTTCTGGACAACAAACCAGTTAGCATATCCAGCAACACTTCTTATTTTGTGCGATTTCTCGATGGGATCATCTACTCAAAGCCAAGAGGTGAACGTGCATGAGAACTGCGCTTGCAATTTAGTTGAACTTGAAAGTGAAATAAAACGGAAACATGGATCCCAGTAGTAGTGCGTTTCGTATACCCACTGCGTTCACCGAGGCCGATAGAAGCGGCACTTGCGCTGATGATCGCTGCAGCTTTTCAGCACACATATCTGTGGGTATTGGATGACACGTCTGACAGCGTCTGCTGGACCGTAATCATGGCTTCACTTTCCGCCAGTGTTGAGGTGGTCACCTATCCAAAACCATCACATCGAAAACTGATTGCAGGAGACTGTCAACCGTTAGTGGGATAGACGGGGCTCACATGGTTTGTGAGAGTAACAGACTCAATGAGTGGTTCCATCTAGTGTGAAACGGGCCATAATCCAGCCACCGTGTTTTGTGCGTCTAGTACGCATGTTTCCGATGATTACATGATTTGCATGTTGAATAAGCGTGAAGCGACTCCGTATAAATCGTAGTTCGCATCCACAGACTGCCCGATCTTAAAAGATCCGGGTTCACACTACATATAGGATGTGTATGGAACAGCTGGTGGTGCACCGCAAGGCACCCATCTTCTTTCAGTAAACGAAGGCGTCCTTTGGCTGTCCGCACTCGCAATGACAGGCAGTGTCGGAAAGTACTATTAAAAAGCACAAGACACACGCACGCACGCACACAAACCTGGAACAATGGATTAATGTCAGATAAAACAGCAAGCGATTAACAATTTCTGTAGGTAAAGAGTAGGGCCGAAAGTCAATGCCTCTAGGCAAAATAACGCGTAGTGGATACATTTTGTGACCAACTCCAAATGGTGGCTTCTCAGTGAATGGTTATGGCTGCGTTTCAATCAGGATCGGCATGGGTAGTTAGAGTCCTTGATGATCGGAGACAACAACATGGCAGTATACGAAATTGCCCACCGAAAACTCCTAGAGTCCTTACTCTGGAATGATAAGGGAGGTGGAGCAATCCCTTAACACTTTCAGTCGCGCTCCATTGTGGATTCCCAAAACCAGTAAGGTCATGTTTTTGACGTGGGTGAAACACCCTGATGATGCATGTTACATGTGGCCTCCCGTACGTGTTTAGCACTCGCGATAATATGGTAAGATCAAACCGGCCAGGCACTCATCGCAATAGGCTTAAGTATTGGCTGGATTGCACCCCATACTTTCTCGGCTTGCTTTGAGCAACTGAGATTGTCCGGCGCAAGCACCCGAAGATCGTGTTCATGAGAAGCGCGCTGCAAAATATGTCCTTCTAGTGGATATTCGTAGGTGCTCTGGTAGGTTATGCTCATTAGTTTCCACTTGGTAGGGTTAAGCTAAGGCGTGTTCTGAGCCCGACCACTCGTAAGCTCTGTTGTGGTCACTGTGTAGTGGAGGTTTACTCTCTTCATTGCTTATCGAACCTTGAGATAGTCTGCAAACAGTATAAAGTTTGACGTCAACACCCCCTCGTAGTCGTTTGTGAACACCAGCAATGGCCTTAATCCTAGTACCGAACCTTGAGGGACACCACAGTATGAACTCGCGCACCGAAGCTGCCTTGGAGTGGGAGTGAATGGAACCACCTGAGATCACTGATCTCACAGCTCCGATGATTGTACGGAAGAATGCTGCGATTTAGATGAAGAATGGCTTTCGAGAAATCAAATTAGGCGGCCTCGATTGCTTTACAGAATCAAAGGATTAAGTCCAGCTGGCATGGGCCGACAAAAGTTTCCTTGTTCCTGAGCGGATTTTGCGGAATCCAAGCGGCCCTATCACGCTAATATTGCACCTTTATCAATATTCCGTAAGCGTTTCTGCAATGAAGATTCCGTCACTCAATCCTATTGGGATGTCACAGTTCGTATTATTTTGCTTGGCGTTAAAACTGTTATTAAGGTTTACTATAACCTTAAGAGACAGGAATAAACAACCTTTTATTGTGGATAAGAGACCAGTTGGTAGTGCTTGAATATAGACCATTTCAGGTGGTTTCGCATTGCAATTTTTAGAAATATAAATTCAGGGGTACGGAATGGTAGCGTACTTTGATGGCAGCACAGACCAGGAAGTATTCTTGCCGCAGTCTTAGCTGTTTGCCTTCGTAGTTGCGATCGATTGGGTAGAGGACTCTGGAGATATTCTCTGCGTGGTTTCTCGCCAGCACCGACTAAAGGAGGTCAAAAACGAATGACATGAAGAAAAATTTAGAGGCATGTTTCCCAAGAGAAAATAAACCGCCAGGGTTAAGGTTACGGGTTTATGCAACCACTGGGTCCACTGTCGGCATGATAAGTCAAGAGCACCAGTTATAAGGCAGAAGTACAAATCGTTTCCTTTGAACTTCAAGTGGACCATTGGCAAAAGTTCCTAGGAAAGTTAGCCACATAAAAAAACATGGCCACCTTGTTACACTATTCTTGGTATTAAGTGGCAGTTCGTAAGAGCTCACGAGAAAAATTGCGCCAGAATACAGGATATGGTGGGCACAAACCTTGAGAATCTGGGAAGGAGAGCTTTCCGCTTCATGTCACTAGCGTCAAAATACTGGTACTTCTGAACATCAGCGTCAAATAAAACGGAGACAAGAATTAAAGTGTTAAGAATGAGCGATGGTTATTCGCTCGGTACACGATAAAAGCAACCCCGTCTGGTTCAAGACAGATATGCCAGTACGCCGTCCAAGTCAGCTGACACAACATCAGCAATGGGCTAGTGAAGTGAGCCACAACATAACCAGCATCAGTTCGGTAGAAAAACCTTGGCTTGGTAACCTTGGATTAGGAAACAACCAATTTGACATGAAACAGGCACCCTAGCTAAGTACATCAAGGTTGGCCTGAGAAAATACTAAACAGAGGTGGAAATGCAAATTAGAGCGAAGTCCGCAGGCATGAGGTTGGAATGCATTAGCAAGTCTGTTACACTTATTAGGTGGATAGCAACGGTGAATATTGTGAGCAGCTTAGTTTGGCGATCGTCCCACGATTCTAGGCAAATGCGAATATCCAGCGAATTTTCTTCATAACTACACTTCGCCTTCACCTGTGAATCTTAGTGAAAGATTTGTGAAACTATTTCTGATCCTACTACAGAAGTACGAGTTCCACAGTCCTCGACGGTAAACAAATCCAGTGACAGGCCCGCAGCATGTGAAGAGTCCGTACACATCAGTACCCAGTTCAGCTGAAGCCAGCAAATGTCATTTAGCGCTCTCCAGTCGCAGATTTGTCCTTTTAATCAACGTCGGAATGGAACGCGTAACAATAACACACAGTAGTGAATATATGCACCAAAAGTTGCTTGTGGGAAATTACATAAAAGTGGTAGCTTGGGTCAATTATTTTCAGATGTAAACACTTCTGATTAGGAAGTGCAGTTAACACAAATCGATTGTCAGCTATGTATGGTTAGCGATAGGTCTGCTGCTTGATAACTTGAAAACCGCAATTTTATCCTCCCAGGAATCTCCGCAACATGAACAGCAGGTGTTTTTATCTCAATAGCGAGGAATGCGTATGTGTCAATTGCTCTAGGTCAAACGGAAAAGCACAACCATATAACCCCATCGTAAATAACAAAAGCCATATGTTTGAAAAGATTACGCCCAGACAATATGTGTTAGGTCCAAATGGAAGTAAATGGGTTTACGAATATTTCAATATCCAACAGGGAAGAAAATCACTAGTTTTCATAACTCTGAGGTGGTTCAAACTTGGTTATTCACTGATGTACAAGGACAAACAACACAGATATTTATTTAGCTTCAGAACACGCGCCTACGCTTGTAGTAGGCCAAGGATAGATTGCTGATAATCATAGGTTAGTCTCGGAAATACAGATTTCAGTCTAAAAAAAGTAATTCCACGAATGATCACAAACACGCCGAAACTGTGGCCAAGCTGTTAGTGGGGAAGTGGCACAAAAAAATATACGCAACCCACACTATTATAGAACTAGTGTTCGGTGTGTGGAAGAGTCAGGTAAGCGGGATTTTTGTATGGGGACTCGATTGCATCGAGTACTTGATTTACATCCATCAACAACCGCTAACAGTAGCGAATAATTGTTAAATCTTCGTACTTGGTGCAATTCCGAAACTTGAACTTAATCTATTCCGCACGAACACAAACCCAAACGAAGGAAAACGTCAAACGACCTTGTCCAAAAATAACGTATTAGCCGCAGTCAAACTGGCTGTAGAAAGGCGGCGAACCATTGTCATATTTACAGGTCGCTTCATGGCCTCCGACTACTAGAAGTAGAAGGTCAGCTACCAAGATAAGTTGTTCCCCATAGATTTGGCCCGTCCTCTGGGAAGGTTGGCAGTTACATACTGACGTTAGAAGAATCTAGAACATTCGAAATCGATGCGACAAAGGTTAATAATCGATTAGTCGTTAAAACAATGGCTTTTCCGGGCAATTACTACTTTCACCCGGACACCTTCCCTCCTGAGATAAGATCTACGGTGTATGAAGAAAACCTGAGATTGACTTGTAGTCTCCTGGACGGTAATCGAATTCTGTCGCTCCATCGCCTCTGCTGAAGTGTGCGAGAAATGGGTCCCGGTGGTTATCGTGCACTTTTGTTGCTGGACTGACAGTCGTTGTCCATAGGCTACTTTGGTAGGTTGAAGCTCTCCACCAACAAGTTAAACGGAAGCTCGGCAGACTTTGTTTCCTCCGGGTTGTCCTGCGTTGGCCGTAGCTGGTTTTTATGGTCTGCGTCCCCACGATCACTTCGTAGATGACATTTCCGCGCTTGCCTTTGATCGTACCAAGTGTTCTAGTTGCGTGACTTGCCCGATAGTCCCGTGCTAGCACTGCCTGCCCTGATATAAACGATTGTAGCTTAGCCCCATGCCGCCGGTTAAAATCCCATTCCATTCTGCGGTTCCTTTCACTAACATTGGGCAGCTGGCTTGGTCGAGTGGCATCAAATGGCGTAAGCAGGTTTCTGTTCAGCGTGGCATGTGCTGGCAAAACTTCATTCGGCGCTTGCGGGTTTTGCGTTGATCGGTACAGGAAGTGGAACCGGTCAATCACATCCTCTATACGTCCCTCCCCCTTTGAGAAGAGCTCACTTGAAAGTATGCACGAATCTCTCTGCCTTGCCACTCGATTGTGGGTGAAACGGTGGTGATCGGGTGTGCTGGACGGCACATTGCTTGCAGAACTCCGTGAAAAGTGTTGAGGTGAACTGTGTGCCGTTATCAGTCAAAAGTGTTTCGAGACAACTGAATCGTGCGAAGATTTGCTATGCTTTTGTTACGGTTGCTTGGGTCCATGTGCTGTTCATCAGGAACACTTCAAGCCATTTGCTGGAAGTGTCGACATCAATGAGAAAACTTTGAAGCTTTATTGGTCCTGCCAAATCGACGTGGACACGGCACCAGGGCCTCGTTGGTTTCTGCCATGAATAGAGTTCCGTCTTTACTGATGCCCTTGAAGCAGCGGCGCACTGGTGGCAACTTTTCACCATTTCTTCCAGTTGTCTGTCCATGAATAGCCAGTACACAAAGCTTCGGGCAAGCGCCTTCATCCGGTTGACCCCAGGATGTCTTGCTTGCATGGAACTGCCGAATTATGAGATTTTTAGTGCCTTAGGGGTGACACCTCGTACCGAGAACAAAATACAGCCATCCACAATGGAGATTGCCTGCCTCTTTGGTAGTACTGTTGCAATTCAGCTGATGAACATGTGCGTTTCCAACTCGTCTTGTGGAATTGTGCGACCATCTTGAGTACAGAGTCATGAAACATTTCTGCTAGTACAGCTTCTGCAGTCCCTGGAGGTCACATTATGCGTCACCCACAAGAAATCTGAAATCTGGTTTAAGCCCAACTGTGGCTATGATGTTGTCTTCTTCATCTTGCTGATGAGAATCTATGAGGCTTGATAGTGCGTCCGCTTGGTCTATGGAAGCGGTTGCTTGGTATCTGATCTTAAAACCAAAGGTCGGCAGAATAAGTGACCAACATTGAAGACGGTTAGACGTATATGCAGGGGTGAGCTGCTTCGCGCCGAAGATAACCAGTAATGGTTTGCAACCATTAAGTTGTTTGGAATTTATTCACTCCAAAGATTATGGCTAATGCTTCCTTTTCGATCTGGCTGTAGTTTCGCTCAATTTTGTCAAATTTCTAACCGCGTGAATGATCGCTTTCTGGGATAATTCCGGGTACAAATGCGAGATAACAGCTCCGATTCCGTGATTTGATGCGTCTGTTGTGAGAATGATCTTGTGAGTTGGGTCGGAATGAGTCAGAAACAAGTCTGAAGCCAGTAATGATTGATTCGTTCAAAGGTACGCTAGCACTCTCGCGTCCAGTTCCAGGCGTGGTCTTTGATCAGAAGCTTGTACAGCGGGACACGTAGGTGATGCAACTCAGGTGAGTATGCTCTGTAGTGATTGATAATACCACAGAAGGAACGTAGCGATTGAACATTTGCTGGTGAAGGCATCTTCCTTATTGCTTCGATGTTTGCTGGATCTGGTCAGCGGCCATTTTTCAAGCACAAAAGCAAGATACTTGGATGGTACGAGTGAAAAAATACATTTTCTTTTAATCAGGAATCCGGATACCATACGACAGGATATGATCAAGTACCTCTATCAAACGGTTAAATAATTCCTCCGCTGTTCGGCCCGTTACGATGATGTCATCCAGATATGCTGCAGCTCCAGGAGCTCCTACCAGTATGGTATCCATCAGCTGTTAACAAATGACTGGTGCCGTTCTTATACCAAAAGGCAGGCAGTTGTATTGGTACAGCCCACGGTGGGTGTTGATGGTCAATAACTCTTTCGAGACCTCGGCAACATCTACCTGAAGCTATGCGTCAGACAGATCAACCTTGGCAAAGCATCTGCCATCATTCAATTTTGCGAGGATGTTTTCCGGTAATGGCAATGCATATTGGTAGTCGTCGAGCACGTCGTTAACACCAGTTTAGAAATCTGTGCAGACGCGTACTTTACCATTCACTTTCTTTACTGCGAGCATGTGTGAGGCACATGAGGCGTAGTTTACAGATGTGATGATGCAAGTTCATTTTATTCGCTCAAGCTCTTGCTCAACGAATGGCATCACTGCATACAGTACCGGTCGTTAAGCTTTAAAGACTGGCTTGGTCCTTGGTCGCAGAGACAGCGTCGCTGTGAATTTGGTGCAATGGCCTAGGCCATGCTGAAACACAGGGCCAAATTTTTGTTTCAGAAGACGTGTCATCTCTTCGACTGACTACGTCGATGCGTCTGGATTTGCTCGAATTCTATTGCAAAGCTGATTCATCGAGTAGTCGCAACTTTTTAATCCATTCTAGCCCTAGAAGGTGCAACGTTAGCCTATCTGACGTGTAAATCGTCACAGTTGTTTCCACTATGTCGAATGCTATTGTGCAGGTAATTTCTCCCATTAAGATGAGCACACATCGGGATGCGCTGTGAGCTGCTCCGTGAGACTTGGTCATCGTTGGCCTCGCTAGGTGATTCCAAGGCTTCCTGAAAATGAATGTGATGTCTGGCGCGGTGTCAACTTACAGCTTTGTTGGTATACCGTTGATTAGCACGAGGATGAATCGTCGCTCTGGCCTAGGTTCACTTTGAAACGCGGCAATTACAGAACGCGATTCTGAACCATGCTTTCGAGAGCTCTTCGAGGGGTAGAACTTCTTTGTGTCCTTACGGCACTTCTCGCTGACGTGACGCTTGAATGGTAGAAAGGCGCAAAATGGCATTCGCCGCACGACCAGCCGTAAGTGGTTTGTTCGGGACCCACTTGAACGGTTTGCTTCAGTTAGCATTCTTGGCATTTTGCACGACGTGAAAGGCATCAGATGGTGCATGGTGGCACTGTTCGATTAGGGCGGCGTCGTGGTTCAAAGTGAGCAATCGCTTGCATTCACCAACAAAGGCCTTTAGCGTTAACTGTCTTGATCAAACTTAGCAAGAAGCCTCATGCGAATTTCAGCATCACAGGTGACTGCAGAACGTTAACCAAAATGATGCACTTACATTGGTCGTCCTTCAAAGTGCGTTGCTTGAAACACTCACACTCGCGGTTAACCAAGTCTGTTAGCGCCCCATAATCGTCCATTTCCCGGTTGACAATCTTTAGGCATTGGTAGCGGATGTTGAACAGAGAAGCTGACTCACCAAATATTTCAGTGTGACCCCGCTTCGTCAAAAATCAAGTCCTTTGCTTGTTTGGGCAGAATTTGGTCGGTGAATCTTGAATACTCTCTCGTGCCGAGATTGAACAATGAATAATGAACAATGAGATATTACGGGTAAAAAAGCAATTCAAAAACGCCAGGCAATGGTGCTGTTCCACTTCATGGGATGGAGCAATTGCTTTACAAGTCCCGTAGGATGGTTGCAGTGAAAGTAAACATAAGTGTAAATCGTCAATTTAAGCGTCTTGCGATTCAGGTGCCCTTTATTCATATAAACCTTTTAGTATGTGTACTGAATTGTTACTGTAGAATAATATGGGAAGTATTCTGGAGTAACAAACGGAGTAACATACGCACTTTCCATGGATCGTCCTGACGTTTGAACCATGCTATAAAAGTGCAACCGGAATCTGCGTCATAATCAAATTTACTCATCACATTAGCGAGAAGAGCAACAGGATTCGCCCGCGTGTCACTTGCTTCTGCTCCTGAAGACTGCAAACTCAAGAAATTCGTCAAATTGTCACACATTTTCATTTGAGCTTGCATTTGGGATTACTGTTGCCAAAATAGCTTCTGATAATGTTTCCTCTGCTGCCATTTGTTAAATCTTCACACTTGGTGTAATTCCGAAACTTGATCTATTCCGCACGAACACAAACCCAAGCAAAGGAAAACGTCAAACGACCTTATTTAAAAATAACCTGTTAACCGCCGTCAAACTGGAACTGTAGAAAGTCGGTAGACCGTAATCATATTTACAGGTCGTCTCTTGACCTTCGAGTACTAGAATTAGATCAACTACCAAGCTTAGTTGTTCCCCATAGATTTGCCTGCTTCTCTGGGTAGGTTGGTACTTACCTGCTGGCCCAGGAACATTCTAGAACCTTCGCATTTGATGCAACAATTGTTGACATTCGATTAATCGCTAAAATAATGGCTTTTTCGGGCAATTCTTACTTTCTCTCAGACAGTAATCCGTTGCATTATGGTAAAGAAATTGTAAGTTGACGGAATAGATTGCGACACACAATCTCCATCTAGACAGTGGGCGATTTCGAAATGAATGCCAATCAATTCTGTTACTGGATTGGTACTTGAAACACATGTTTTTATATGTCACCCGTGTAGTCTCAATGAACGAAATTAGTGAGATTCACTACAAGAGGAATCGCAGTCAGATTGCCTTTACGCGTGGTAATGCGCTCAAATTAGCAACACAAGAGTACCCCCATTTAGTCACTAACCGTTGAAATGAACAAAGATACAGCCCACATTATCTAGGAAGCCACGTGCATTGTTGATGTCACGATGGAAGGAAATACCTCTATTCTCAATGTCTAAACCCACTAAGGTGTTCCTAAATTAGAGCAGTTTGCGGCGTCGTCGGAATGGTTAACTCCTGGTAAGGGGCAAGATTTACAACGCTTGCAGTACGCGGTGCTGTCGTATGGAAGGAGGAGGAGGAGCAGCAGCAGCGGTCGCAACATTCGTGTCTATCCACGTGGGGAATCGTGAGTACCAGATGTACACAAGGCTGTACACAAGATGTACACAAGATGTACACAGCAACGATTCACAGTCCCGGATAGTTCCTCTTGGTAAGCAACGGGTGGAATTAGTATTAAACTCTTCTATGCCATTTTTCTATTGATTGCTTCCTTAACGCAATCGCTTTCATCCGTAGGGCCGCAGCTTGCATCATTAGCGCAGCAACTATAATCTTATGATCACGAAAATTGCATCATCAACACCATGAGTGGTCAACCGCTATCTGCCAATAGCGATCGGCATGGCTGTTTAACGTAGGGGCATCTGGGTTATATAGCTATCAGTTGAGGCATTGCTACACGGACTTCAGCCATCCGCTAGTGCAGGTGCACACCAGCGTTGGAGAATAAGGGGAGGGGGGGGGAAGCACAGGTTTGTTCGTGAATTGGCTTCAAACCCCAAAACCTGTGATGTGAAGGTAAGGCGATGTGAACCCAGGGCCTGGCGACCGCAGACGCGAGCGAGAGCATGTCCGAAGTACAAAGTCACGCCCCCACTGGCTTGTCGAGCCCGTCATGAATGAAGTCAGAACGGTCTAACAATGAGGGTTTGAACGAGCAAACTTGATGTGCGTTCGAGACGAGGGGACAGGTGAGGCACGGATGGTTAGAGTGAACAATGTTGACTTGGCAAAACATCACCTGCACAACCATAGATCATCTGATGCTAACTTTGCCGTCGCGCGGTTTCAAAAGGATCGCTCTGTCTGCAGCACATAGCGGAGTGGGTAACCGAAGATAGGCCACCGCTTGTGCATCCAGCCACATTCGACATTCCCAGTCTCCATTTTATTTAACCAACCAACCTTCAAATTTAACCCTCAAGATCTAATCACCCCATAGATTCTATGGCACAGGCGCATGCCTCCACGTAAAGTTTTTAAGATTGGAAGTTGGAACGTGTGCACACCCCTGGTTCGGGACACTAATCAGCGCGCCACAAGAAATACTGGAATTCAGCAGCTCCGGGACTGGTACTACCGCGTTCAGTGAGTGTCGGTTAGTTGAGCAAGGCAACTCGCGCGAGGAGAGTGCTGGTTGCAAGCTCTACTGATTGGGCCACGCCATCAGGACAGCAGCTGAACATATTGAAAGATATGCAACAACCAACCTCTTAAATGGACAGCTGATGGAAGAGCCGACTGGCATCAGCCCAATAGTGCCGTCAATCTGCATAAGCTTTGGATGTGGTAAGTAGATAAGTTTAGTTAGCGCGAACGGACCCACTATGTATCATCCTGATGACGAAAGATCCGATTTACTCAAACTTGTCCTCCATGGTACTGTCTGCGTAGCAGAGCAACCGACTAACCCTACTAATTCCGGAAAAATTTCTCTACATAATTACAAGTGTGAATGTATAGCATCATGAAAGGAGTGCAGTTAAGATTGCAAATCGACCAAACTGAGCACACCGACATTCAGGTCACCTTGTCATCTGTTCCCGGCCTGCTACCACGGCAGGGCCAGGGTCACAAATGTACACAGAGTTGAGCCAACTTGTTTGATAGCCACGGCCTCAACATATCGTAAAGTTAGGAGGTACATTGATACATAAGATAACACGGAAGGCGCGCACGACGTCTACTCCGTGGTTGTCAGCCGGCAGGTGGAGGGCGATTAATGAAGCTGGTTGTCGGCTGCAAGGTCAAATTCGTGGGCATGACAGAACGACGATTGAGGCTGAGGGTCGCGGAGCACATACCGGCATGGGTGAGTAAACACGTTTCGCAGATGGCCACCTCCACCATCACGAATGCGGTTTGATCAATTTGCCATTTCAACTGCCCTCCTTTCATGATGCTATAAATTCACACGTCTGTAGTACGCATTTGGAAATATGCGGAAATTTTTCCGGAATTAAACCATGCGGCACTTGTGTTTTCTACTAAAAGTTTCCTCGGGAACTAATTGTTTCAATAATCCTACTAAATGATCTAAACGCATGGGTCGGCGATGATACCAAGCCAAGTTGAAATGTGGCCGATTGCTCCAGCTGGGTGCGACTTATGTCCAGGCGCTCACAAATGCTCTGCTACTTGGACGCCTCTATGGCGCGGTCACGTGCACCTGCTTGGCTAACTCATCGTACACTGGCACCACACGCGTCAAGTGTGAATGACGCATGCATGTAGTGGACGAAGGTGAACGTGGACAGTGGCGGACGTACAATTGTCGCCACCCTTGCAGTTGTAAATCCGTAAACCCACAAAAATTGCGAACAGACGTTATACGTTTGTATTCATGTAACAACGAAGTTCCACTTTAAAACACTGCCGTAAATGCAGGTGTTCATATAGTTACAATACTCGTGGACAAAATTTACAGATTTATTTTTCGTGTATTACTCGAAGCTATAATGATAGCACTAACAAAATTCAGTACATTAGCGAATTCCCTCTCCATGGCGGAATTGCCAATCCGTGAGCCTTCTGTGATTCCTTGATGATAGAAGGTAGTTCGTTATCTGCTGAGGTTTGAGAATGAGCTCTCACAGCTGGTGGTGCTAACAGTTCGAATAAGATGCGCAGCAGATTACAGAAGTGATATTTCTGTATGAAGTTCAAAAGTTCAGAAGATCCAATCATTTTGTTGATCACCGAATCTTTCACAAAATACTGCAATCTTTTCCTTATGACAAAGAATTCCTCTTCTTCATTCTCTTCTCATCTTCGCTGACCGAAAAATCATATTGATTATCGAGCAGATTTAACGGTGCAAGGAAAGCTTATTAGTTTGCAAAGTCATGAATTTGCTGAAATCCATAACATTTTGTCAGTGAAACTTCATGAAAGACAGAATTTATTGTTTTCAATCATAGATAGTTCATGGATATCTGAAAAATTTCCTCGCCATCCATTCGTTTGTCTCGGCGGATTCGAGACTCCATGGTTACCCCCAACTCAGCACCTTATTTCTGATTCATCCATTGCAACGTCAACCATTTTCCCATTATATTGAAAAGAGAAAACTGTTAACATTGTTAGCTTGAGAGCACTTTGTCGCAGATCCAGCCCTTTTTATTCAGACCTTTCTATGCATCGCTGATTTCCATGAGAACAGATCTCCAGATCTGAATTTCGTTCTTCCGCTTCTCTCTTAGTACCAATTCAGAAATTCCCTCTGCGCTTATACTCTTATTTTCAGTGAAATTGAGATAAAACGCCTTTGCCGTCACTTCATTTTCACTCATCCGGAGTGCTATCGAAAATTAAGTAAACATAGTTGGTTTCCTTGGCCTGATTTATGATTTTCTTTCATATTTGCTTTACAAAAATGCTCAGTAGTTCATTTTGAACTCGTGGCAACAAAGGAAAAGTGCTGATTTTCCTCCCCTGCTGAACTGTCACCAAATGTTCACGAATAACAGGCTCATTCTTGGCCAACAATTGTACGAATTTTGAAAAATTCTCTCTTTACCTAGCCTTCCTTATCCTGGACGAGTCTCAAGGACTATGCAGTGTCCCGTTTTGATTGACGGGAAACCTGACGATATATTCTAGCCAGCAGTTCAGACCACGTCTTTTCTACAATCGCCTTCCTTCAACTAGCTGGATTGTCAGCTCCTTGATGTTGGGGAATGACTGATCGCACGATTTATCAAATTCGTGTTCATACGCTTTGAGACTTAGTTTCCACCAGTTTCTGAAACCCTCCTCAGTCGAAAAACTAGATAATCTAGTTGAAAACATCCTACAGCGGAAACGAAACAGGTCCTGGTTTTATGAAGAATCATCATCATCATCAGCAACAGCAGTACATCAGCCATATGAACTGATGCTTCGCTGCCATACAACCATGAGGACCTATGCAATAAAGAATAAGAAGAGGGAGAGAAGGGGGACTTACCTGAAAACCTTAATGCCCTAAGCAAACATTCAGGATCAAGGCGCCTACACCTTGTGTAGACAACATTCCGTCACAAGCAGCCGTCATAATCAGCCATTACCCCGCAGATAACTCAGCACCAAACACACTTTAAACAGACAATCCGATTAGGAGACGGCAGCAGACGCGCCACTGGTGTCGGTTGCGAGCCATGTCCTGTAAAGTCTCGAGCCAAGCACAAGGTGAGTCACGTGGACTCCAACCCGGAAGGCGAGACGGACCAACGGCACCCAGTTTGGTCGTCAGTGACTTCATTTCCCGCTGCCAAGTCAACTTCTGTCCACCTCGAGCCTTGCGCCATCCAACACCTGGTAGACTGAACAAGGCCCTCCTAGGTAAGCGGTGACCAGGCATGCGTAGCACGTGCCCGAGCCAACGTAACTTATTCAGTGCTATCTGTTGTTCTAGGGAGCTAGCATGATCATCACCACCTATTGCTCG